CTTCATGCCTCATTAAAATTATTAGCTCATTTATTCCTCTCTAAGTTGGATTGAACCAAAGCTTTGGAGATCAAAGGACCGTTTTCCTCTCTGTTGCTTTCCTTTTATAAACTGATATTTTCCACGTTTTAAGTCTCTGAATTAAATTTCCATAAACAGTAACATTTTTGCTTTGATAAACTTTTAAATATAAAGTGGGTGTTAATAGGTTGTTTCCACTTGTTTTTTTAAAAAGCGGGCAGTACAGATTTCCAATTTGCTCCCTGAAAGCTTCTTATAACAATGACAATGGTTAAAAAAAACAAGGTATAGATATGCGGGAACCACAAGAGGAACTAAAAGGTTTAGGAGGAACTTGTTTATACAGAAGTTGGTGAGAATGTGGAACACATTGTTGGAAGTGATGGCTGAAGCATATATGGAGAAGGTCACAGAGGGATATGGGGAAGGGGTTTAAAAGTTTTTAAAAATGTTTTCTGCTTAAAATTGAGGGCTTGGGCTGCTGCCTAATAAGTGGCCATTTAATACTATACTGTATTGAATTTTAATGTGGCATTATTTTATACATTGGAGCAACTAGAGGGTAGTAGTTTTGATTTAATAGTTATTTTCTGAGCCAGATCTGCCAGAGGTAAAGTTCACACTGTACCCGACAGTCTTTTCATGCTAGATTCTAGGCCTTGGGCTGCCACCTCATGGGTATTTAGTTTATTCCAGTTAAGTGGGAATCTTGGCAATCTACGGTAATTACCCACTGTACATTGGAGATTGTGGCAATAATTAATGCTGATAATTAACCTTATTAAAATTATCAGCTCATAGAGAGCATAAACACCAACACAAACTAGCTGGGCTGAATGGCTTCATTGTCTGCTGTAAGGATTCAATGTATAACTTATGGCCCAAACCTGCAGTATTTAATAATTAGCAGACTCGATATTTATTGTGAAACTGCCATTGCCAAATTCACAATAAACATCTAAATATGGTGAAATAAATAATGTAATAGTAAATCACTAGACTAGCTGGCAGCATCCCATTTGATGGTTCACAAATTTGAAACCACGCCAATTTTTGATGCGGCAGTTTTTTTATATATTGGAGCCGCTACAGGGTGTTAACAATGGATAGTTTGGATTTAATCATTATTTTCTGGGGCAGTTCTGCCAAAGAGAGGTGAAGTTCACACTGTGCCTGACAGTGGTTTCATGCTCCAGAATTAGGCTATTGTTGTCCAACCATAGAGTTCTGTGGCTACATGTGGCTCATTGAAGGGTCTCGGTGTGGCTCACATCTATCTCGGCTGCAGCAGAAAGTATGTGTCTCAGATGATTCCCATTAGAAATTTGCTTCCAGAGATGTGTGCATGGCTATTTAAACATTATATATGTGATCAAAAAAATTCTCTAGTTAGGCTTGTACTCTGTAGTGTACAATACTGAAGCTAACCGTGGGATATTTGCTGGAATATCCATACATTTCCAAAAACATGCACTCTTTCTATCTGCCAAATAATTAGATTTTCCGGGACTATGGTCAAATAATAACTGATTGACAATGTGAGAAGAACCATGCATGTGTTGCTCCAGGAACAACTATGTACAGACAGCAGACCAATAGGCACTACGCAACTAGACTCTGAATTATAATAATAATAATCCTTGCATTTGATATAGCGCTTTTCACGTCGGGAGGACGTCCCAAAGCGCTTCACAGAACACACTGTAAAGTGAATTGACTGTATATTTGTGGGCGAACGCGGCAGCCAATTGCGCACAGCAATGTCCCACAAACAGTCGTGGATTGAAAATGACCAATTTTTATTATTGTTTTTGGTTTTGGAGGGATTATTATTAGGCTCTGTGTGGAGTAAGGAAACTTGCCCAAGGTTTCGCCCTCTGCCTGGAATTGAACTCAGGTCTCTCACTTGCAAAGCGAGTGCTCTAACCACTGAGCTACAGGACTCCTGTATTATTATTATTGAACAAAAGTAGTATTATTAATTGATGCATAATTTTTAAGTAAATATAATGTTGTAGATTTGTATATTAACCGCAAAATTCTCACAACCGTTTTCCATGTTTTTAAATATATATAACTTGCAATTCATGATGCCTCTACTCTCTTTGTATGTAAATGCCAATGCCAATTAATTACTAGCAACTTGCACTAGCAACAACTCAATGATTTGTTTCCCAAATGCATTTGAAAGTTAACGAGTTATGGCATATTCAAAAACACCCAGTGTTTTCAACGTATGTATGTATGCACACATATGCAATATCTTTATTGTCGTGATTCCACTAGGACTCTGCAGTTGCTGCATATGTCTTCTGATTCACGTTGTACATAATTGGATACTTACACACGCGTCTCTGGTGTAACATTTCTCAACTGGTGTGACTCACACTGTTCATGAGTTAAACAGCAGTCATCTGGGTTCAACAATGGTGATCTTGGGGTGCCACCGTGTGGTCATTTCGTTTATTACAGTTAAGTGGGAATCTTGCCAATCTACAGTAATTTCACACTAAAATATTAATAATTGCATTTGATATAGTGCCTTATCACGTCTTCGAGAGTCTCAAAGCGCTTCACAGAATATACTGTAAAGTGAATTCATAATATATTTTGTGGGTGAAATGCAGAGCCAATTTCACACTGCACTGTCCCATAAATAATCGTGGATTAAGTGACCAAATTATTATTATTTTATATTTTTGAAGGGATTATTACCCCTGGAAAAGCGAATTTGGTTCCTACTTACTGTTAGGTAAATAGAGGTGTGTGGAGTAACGAAACTTGCCCAACATTTTGCCCTGCCAGGAAATCAAACCCCAGGCCCTCCTGCTTGCGAGGCAAGTGCTCTAACCACTAAGATACAGGACTACAAGGACTAATTATTGGAGATTGTGGCCGTAATTAATGCTGGTAATTAGCCCCATTAAAATTAGTAGCTCATGTTGAGTATGAACACCAGTACAAACTAACTGCTGAATGGCCTGTTTCCTTTCAAGCCGAGCGTTCAGACACAACGAGCATTCCGAACCTCTGGAACTCTCTGCGTGTATCCCTCCGGCCTACCCTCTCTTTCCCCGTCTTCAGACTTTCCTCTTACACTGTGCGTACGGTCATCTCACCTCTCTCCCCAGCTGGGCATCAAAATCCATCATTATTCAGTGTTCTGAGACACTATCCTGTATGAAGGATGCTATGTTGTTGTTGTTGTTTCTGTGCTTTTTGTCCAATTTTTAAAACTAATGGCCAAAACCTGCATTATATTACAATTAGCACAATTGATGTTTGATAAACCTGATGTTTATTGTGAAACTGTAATTACAAAATTCACATCTAAACACCATGTAATACCCTAAATAGTCAATAGGTGGCAACATCCCATTAGTTTGTTCCCAAATTTTAGACCATATTCTACCTGACAGTGTGTTAATGCTCAGGATCTATGCCTTAGGCTGCCACCTTGTGGCCAACTGCAAGCCCTACACTCACCACAGCAGAGTCTCAGTTCACGTGGAGTCCTGCAGCTTCATGGTTACAGCAATCACCTCATTTACCTACTGCTCGATAAACAGAGGCGTGTGGAGTAAGGAAACTTGGCCAACGTTTCGTCCTGCCCAGGAATTGAACCCAGGTCCTCTCGCTTGTGAGGCGAGTGCTCTAACCACTGAGCTGAGGACAACATATTGGAATAATGTCTCAAATGCAACTGCACAAAACCAACCAGTGGATTTGAGTCAGAAGAGGCCAGAGGCAATCATTCCAGAGGATCTCTTGTGCATTAACCATACTGTTTATGTTAGTGAGAAACGGCATTGTTCAGGAGTATTATGGTTTGGGAGACTTCTTAACGGACTGCTAGGACAATATTTATACGAGAATTGTCTGGAAGTACTGTTACTCAGACTCACTAATGGACTCAGTTGGCAAGCTTGTCGCTTTTGTTTTATTGAGAAATCTAAGTGAAGGACCAAGACATGATGTCATCAAGGTTGAAAATAATTTGAAAGAAAAGATAATTCAAGAAGTGATGGTTTGAAAGAGCCAGAATTTAATGACATTGAGACTTTATGTGAGAGGAATTGTTCACTCTTAGGTCATTCAGCCCAACTAGTCCTTCCTAGTATTTATACTCCACAGAAGTATCCACCCCTCCTTATCCATTCTCCTTATCCCCCTCTATTCATTTCTCCCTTGTGTATGTGGTTTTACAACAACAACAAATTACACTCTTCATGTCGGAACGACATCCCAGGGTGCTGGTCAGTCAGGGTGTTTGGGACCCGAGTTGGGGTCAGGAGGGGAGGAGGGCAGGGGATTTGGGGGTGGGAGGATGGCCAAAGGCACGGTCAAAGAGGAACATCTTTAGAATGGACTTGAAGGAGGCAAGGGAGAGGGTGAGACAGAGGGATTGCGGGATAAAGTTCCAGAGTGTGGGAGCAGAGATGCTGAATGCCCGACTGGCAATGGTGGGGCGGGAAGTGCGGGGGACCTGAAGCAGGCCGGTGTCCAGGGAGCGGACAGGCTGATATGGGGTTAGGAGGTGGGAGAGGTAAGGGGGAACAAGACCATGGAGGGCTTTGAAGGTGAACAAGGGTTTTGTACTTGATTCTCTGAGGGATGGGGAGCCGGTAAAGCCGGGCAAGAACGGGGGTGATTGGTTCGCGGAGCCTAGTGTGTGAGAGGCCAAAAGCTGCAGAGGTTTGAATAATCCACAGCTTGTGGAGGGAAGAGTTGGGAAGTCCACCAAGCAGCCAGCTGGACTTTATCATTTGGACTTCCTCAGTTGAAATATTCAAATGGTCTTTATCATTTGGAGTTAATATTTCAATATTGCAAACCCTAATTACAACAAATAACTTTTTAATGGGACTCTGCGGTACATCAGCACGTCAGAGCACCATATAAAGTCATACAGTCCAGCAGGGTCTCAAATTCACTTCCTTGTCTGAGCTCAATCTGAGCCAGAGTGAAAACATTGCAATGCTTAGTATCTGGTGTCCTCTGGTGATTTCAACTGCATACAGTCCATGAAACCAAGAAAGTTGTGCACACAAGAAAGGGGATCCCAGCAAAGGCCTTTGCGACACTCTCTAGATCAGGTACTGTCCAGAAATAAACTACTGAACCCTTCAAAAATAACTTTCCACAATCTGGAGCAGGCTACCATGTTTAAAAACTATAATATGTCAGTCAAAAGCATGACAGCAATGAAAGTTAAAGGCACCGGTGGTGAGGAGTGATGTTGCCACCTAGTGGACCTCAGGTATATTATATTTTTCCACAATAATACTCAGCAGCACGAATTGCAGCAATAATTTAGCTAGGTGTTAGTTTACATCGGTGTTAATGAATGAATACTGCAATTTTTTTACTTCCACATAACCTTGATTCCAGTCTGTCAGATACTCAATGTTCATAGTCTTCTGCCACTCTGCCCCCACCCTCAGGAACTCTATCCCGCAGTCCCTCTGCCTCGCCCCCTCCCTTGCCTCCTTCAAGACTCTTCTCAAGACCCTCCCCTTCGACCATGCTTTCAATCACCCTGCTTCCTGCCCCCACCCCCCCCTTCACCCTCCCCGATCCCGACCCCTAGCTCGGGTCCAAAACTCTGACTGTCCAGCACCTTGGGACGTCCTCCCGACGTGAAAGGCGCTATACAAATGTAAGTTTGTTGTTGTTGTTCACAGACTCCCACAATGTGTTCTAATATAAAACTAGGTGCCTCACTTACTACATATTTCCAATTAAACTGGTGAAACCGCAACCTTGTAATATCTTCCCCATTTTGAAGATAATGACAACTTCTCAAGATCTTTTCCACAATATGTTTTAGTGAGAGACACTCGTTGTATGAACTCTAAATCAAATCACCTAATCATTCTGCTGAGTCATATAGGGATATTTGCAGGATGAGACTGTTATTGCATCAGTTTGCGATCCATTATTGAGTTGGCAGTTATATTGGTATAAATAATGGTCCCTGTGCAGAATAATTTTTAAACTGGAAATAAAAGAGATTAGATTTCAAAATGACGTCTGAGAAAAATTTCTATTGGTTTCAGATGAAGACAACCAACATCAGCAATCCAACAACACAGAAATCATAGACTTGGCAGCAACTAGTTGTGTAAGTACGGTGGTTTGGAAATTTATATGAGAAGTAATTCACAATACGAGTAATTGATATTTTGATGTAGGATAAATACTTGAATTTGGAACATGTAAAATGATCACTTGCAGGTTGAACCAGTAGATTGCCTCAATGATTTATTTAGTCTATCACTTTGTCCTGTTGGGCTGTGTATTCATTCATCTATGCATTCTTTCGAATGAGCTTAGTGGTTGGAGAACTCGTCTCGCAAGTGAGAGACCTGGGTTCAATTCCTGGCAGGGCAAAATGTTGGGCAAGTTTCCTTACTCTGTTTACCTAGCAGTAAGTAGGAACCCGGTTGTAAGTCGATTGGCAGATTGCTTTTCCGGGGGTAATAATTTCTTGCAAGGATTATTATTATTTCTACAATATTTACTTTTGTTGGAATGTTGTGCCTGTGAGGATAATTTTTAATCATACCACTACTAATAATAATCATTGCATTTGATGTGATAAAGCACTATATCAAAAGCATATATTATTATTATGAAGATTGCCTGAGCTGCAATTGAAGCCATGTCATATATAATCACTACAAATCTTTCTGCCACCATTAGACCTAAAGAAATTGTCTAGGTGTGTTTGTTTTATGAAGAGTCATAGCAGGTGATAGCCAGACCCATGGGGGTGCAGCCCCCTCTCCTCCTCAATTGGTTGTCTAATCAAGTGTCATTTTGGTCAGCGCATTTAATCATTTTAATCAGTGAAAATTCCTCATTGTTGCATGTATTCATTTAGATGCACAGGTATTTAGATGGAATAGCTGCCGCCTATTCCATAACTGCGCAGCACAGGATAAATGACAGAATTGGAGAATATTGTTAACTGCATTCCAAGCTGTATTATGTGCATTTGCTTTTTAATTGATGGAACTGGGCAATAATGGCTAACCACATCAGCAAATTATACTGTTAAAATAATTCCACATTTGTTCAATTTACCATGTAACAAGAAAGCAGCCAATCTGTTGTTTAGTGTAGATTTCACAAACATAATTTCTACTCAGTCAGGGCTGATTAATTTTATTGATCCATACGTCTCTCCTTGTGTCTGTGTTAGTATAAAAGTATGCGGTGCAGGTCTTGTAACTTCTAGCCAAGTTTCAGAATCTACTAAACTGCGACGTCATTGCCCTGCAGCATTATTATCCTTGTAGAGGGCAATGTGCCAACTGTTCTGCATATGCAATCCATCTTCATGATATTGTATACACTGCAGTGAACTCAGCACTGACAGGTGCACTTTCATATTCATCAGCATGACTGAAGAAGGCTTCAGGCCAGGAGAAATCTGGGATTGATGCTCCTTCAGCAATTGATACAATTGATACAGCTGCCTCTGCACATTCCACTCGGGTGGAGGGACCGAAGCATTCATGTCTTAGGGTTCTGCTGCCCTTTGTAGGTCACAGTTACATGTGGGTCTTGGTCCCTCTCTGACACTCTCCCCTTCATGGGGGGACTTGGACTGATGTACAGCTCATGCAATGCAATGTGCACAGATTTGCAGGATGTTCTTTAGTTACAATGCGAGCGTCTCTGTGTGCACTAAGTACATTTGCGCATACAAGTGAGTACTAGGGTGATGAGGTGCAGGAGGTTGGTGCAGGAGAGGATATAAACTGCAGAGTTCTGAATGGTATGCAGTTTATGGAGGGCGGGGCTGTGGATTCTGGTGAGCAGGGCATTCAATAGTCAACAGAGTACATGTTGAAGGCACGAACAAGGGTCTCAGTAGCGTGGGGGAGAGTAGTGGCAGAGGATGTTGCGGAGTTGAGGGAAAGCCAAGTGTGTGAAGCCATATACGGGGTGACCAATGGTGAGGCAGGGGATGTGTCGTAGGTATGAAGGAGTGGGTGAGAAATGCACTCGGACATTTTTAGGGTTGGGAACTCTTAATCAGCTTCATAATAGCCCTCAGACACAATCAAACCAATCTCAAATCTATAATGTAGAGATCTAAAACGGGTATTATGAACAAATTGATCAGAGCACCAAAATTTGCGAAGCAGCAGCTTTGACGAGATACGTATTTCTTATTCTAAATTATCACAGGGAAGCTAGCCCAGAGTGGATGCATTGAAAATTGAGATTTGGGGTTAAGAATTTGAGAAATCCATAGACACGATTATACAAAACATGGAGGGGGCATTAATAAAAAAAGGCCAGCTAGGAAACTTTAATCAGTGATTTATTGATCAGTAAGTCTAACATCAGTGATGGATAAAATGATCAAAGCATTTTAAGGCTTCTACTGTATCAATACTTATCTAAAGAGCACACGGCTTTGAGACTTGGTTGGAATGACTTTAAAAAAGCAATATATCAACTTCTAAATCTACTAACATTTGAGAATACAATTTAAATTAGTGGATGAGATATCTTTTGGATGATGAAACATACATGATTTTTCAGAAATTATTTGAAAAGATTGAAGATTCAAAGCTGAAGGAATTTATGATTAACTGCTTTTTGTTAAATGGTTGAAAATTGGTTTTGAGAGTAGAAGTTGACAAAAAATGACAGTTGGCAGTATTAAGTAGTGTTTCACCGAAGTTTATTTTGAATTTGAATTTCCTGCAGTTCAGTCCATAAAAAAGACTTCTACCAATTTTACTTTTGCTGATATGAATTGACAATTATCCTGAAATATAATAAATCATGAGTCTTCTCTCCCACCATTCATCCTATTCATGTGTACACCTCACATACCAACACCAACATACTGAACAGTGAATACTACCATATTTTTTAAAAAAAGGATTTCTGCTACTGTTTTTTTAAAAATAAAAGGAACCTCAGCTAATAAAAGAAAGCTACCTTTTTAAAAAATACATGGTAGCTCTGCTTTTAAATAAAGGGGACACTTATCTTTGTTAAAAATAATAAAACAGGAGATTGCGCAGTTTAATGAAAAGGGCCTCTCCCACTATTTGTTAAAATAGAAAGATCAGCTCCCAATTTATTTGAAAACTAGCTCTGCCCGTTGCAGCTTTGCTTCCAACTAAAGGATCTAATATGGAATGTAGATTGACACACATCAGACACACTTTTCGCTTAGACATCTTTATAATGATAAATATAAATGTATAATTTATAATCACTGGGGTGTCCTCCCGCCGTGAAAGGCGCTTTAAAAATTTAATTTTGTTGTTGTTGCTGTGGCTTAGTTTCGTCTGTGTTCTTTATTTTGTTCCCACCGCCGCTTGGTTACGTGCGTGCTCTGTGACGCACGATACCACAGCGCCAAGGTCAGCCGGCCCGGCCACCAGGCTCTGCGACCCTATCACCCCCATCCTCACCCGACTCCATTGGCTTCCCATCGCACAGAGGATACAATTCAAGATCCTGGTCTTCATCTTCAAAGCCCTCCATGGCCTTGCTCCCCCCACCTCTATGACCTCCATTAGACCTTGCTCCCACTACCATCCAGCTTGCTCCCACCGCTCAGCAGGCTCCAACCTGCTTTACGTCCTCCATCTTGCCCACCCCATCATTGGTGGGCGGGCCTTCTGCCACTCTGCCCCCACCTTCTTGAGCTCCATCCTGCAGTCCCTCCACCTCTCCCCCTCCCTTACCTCCTTCAAGACCCATCTCAAGACCCTCCTCTTCGACCGTGCCTTCGATCACTCTCCTTCCACCAACTCCCCCTCCACTCTCCCCAATCCTGACCCTCAGCTCAGGTCCGAAACACTGATTGTCCAGCGCCTTTACGTCTTCCCAATGTGAAACGCGCTATACAAATGTCATTTTGTTGTTGTTGTAACTGCATGTTGGCCCAGCGCCACTTTGACTTGGCGGCCACCAGGTGTAACTGCAGCAAAAGACCAAAACTGAAATACATTTTAGGTCATAACTCATGAACGACAGGAGATACCCAAAAACTCTACGTCATGTCTCTATGTCAATAGGTTATTGGGATCTCTATTGAAGCGCACACAGACAGACATTGTCGTTTTATTAGTATAGATTATTATACATTTTATTAGATTATTATACTTTATGTTATACTTTATATTAGATTATTATATTTTGTATTAATTATTATACTTGATATTACTATACTTTATATTAGATTATTATACTTTATATAACGATAGATCCCCAAAAATACGCCAATGATTTTCTGTCGCTATTTTGTTGCAGGATATATTAGTACAAATGTATCTCTCTAGAAAGTGTGTTTTTTCCTCTGTTGCTACTTTGTTGGATGCATACCTCATATTTTGGGGCTTAATTAAAGCATTGTTTTAAATATAGCTCATCAACAATAGGAGATCACCGAAAAAAAAACTATGCCCATGACACTCGCGCATGCAAGAGCTTTCCGATGAGATATAAATCACGTATCTAGGTGAATCAGTTGTTGAGATCTTGGCTGATACACACACACATTGTCGTTTTATTAGAAGGGACAGCACCCAATGTTTGTTTAAATAATATTTCCCACCTTCGTTTTAAATAAAATGGGAAGCTCCCACTATTTAAACATAAAGACAGCTTAAAAAGGCACCATTTTTGATTAAGAAAAAGATAACCTCCCACCTTTTCTTTCTAAAAAGGACAACTATCACCATTCCTTTTAAAGCAAGCGAGAGACCTGGGTTTGATTCCTGGCAGGGTGAAGCCTTGGACAAGTTACCTTACTCCACACGCCTGATAATAATCCCTCAAGAAAAAAAAGTAATAACATTGGTCATTTTCAATCCACGACTGTTTGTGGGACACTGCTGTGCGCAATTGGCTGCCGCGCTTTGCCCCAAAAAATATAGTTAATTCATTTTAGAGTATATTCTGTGAAGCACTTTGAGACGTCTCAAAGACGCGAAAAGCGCTATATCAAATGCAAGGATTATTATCATAAAAGACAGCCACCACCATCTTTATAAAAGAACAATTCGCATTGTTTCTTTAAAATAAGTAAATCTGCTACTTTTTTTTTAAAAAAGGCAGCTACCATTTTTGTTAAATAAAAAGGCCAATCCCACTATTTTTTTAAATTGGTAAATAGGTTAAGCAATTCCCCCCTCCCCCTCGAGAGAGAATGTGCATTCCATTCCAAATAGGGGGAATTAACAAGTGTAGCTCTTGCATGCTCCTCATAGTGATGGGGTTATGCATATGCCAACTGCTAATCCACACAAAAAAATAGATTCCCAGCTCAAATGGCAACCGGGACAAATATAGTTATGTTTTATTATTGTTGGCTCTGTTTTCTGGGACAGTTGGATTGGTTGGCTTAGGGTTTCTACGGGGTTAATAGTGCTTTATATTTAGTTGTGAAAACAGGACAATTGTTTTCTTTTGATGTCAGAAGTTGTGTTGGTGTCATCAGGTATGATTGTGGATTCCTTTTTGTGTGTGTCCACATGGACAATATGGTAAACAATCTATTGTCTTTTATACTAGTAAGTAGTGGATCCATTCTACATTGTTTTCCAGCCAGACATCAGCTGGCACTGCAGAATATGATCAGAGGAGTAGCAGTTTTGTGTTGTTTCTATTGTACAGGTACAATTGTATTTTCATTTTGATTGTTTGTACACATTACTCTCTCGGTTGGTTGAACAGCAGGAATTGGTCAGGGGAGGGGTAGTTGTGGTTTATTCCTGTCTACAGATATAATTTTGTTTGTGGAGGTAAATACCCCAATTAGCATCTGGAACCGTCAAATGACGAATCAGGTGTAATCGTTTGGCACCGCAAGAAATGGGATTTTACATGGAGCGTTGGGTATTTTTAATTAGCTTTTCGGGTTTTTTGTAGATTTGCTCGCGTCAATTGTGTGTTTGTTTGCAGTTATTTTCCTTTAGTGTCTGCAGGGAAAAATGTTGGCTTTAATTGGTGTCTTCAGGGACACTTGTGTTGGTTTGCAGAGAGTTTTGTTTTCCTTGGTTGTGTGCAGGAGCAGTTGTTTTGATAGTTAGTTCAAGGAAAGGTGTGTTGATTGGCTTGGATGGAGATATGTGTAGTGCCAGTTGCATGTGTTTTTGTATCAGTCTGCACAGGGTGTTATCTTTTCCAGTTTGCAATGGTCAGGTGCCACGCCAGCAGCAGGTCAATGGACAGTTCTGTTTTATTTGTGAATACAAATCATTTTCATTTTGTTTTTAGTCAAGAACATTGGAGTAGTTTACAATACTAGGTGTAGATCAGGAGAGGGTCAGTTGCGTCCACAGGTACTGTTGTAATCATTGTGTGTGTGCCCCACAGCTGTCTCTGTTAAGTTAGTAAGTACTAGATCTGTTGTACTTTGTTTTCAAGCCTGAAGCCCTCGGATGATATGGGAGTGGATAGTTTTATTTTGATGGTCAACAGCTACAATTTTGTTTATTTTTTTCCTGTTTGTACAGGCATGATTGTCCTCTTCATATTGATACTGAAACCTTTATACAGCATGGAAAGATCAGAGGGTGAAGCAGGACCAGATTAGGACAAGGACATGTGTGGCGGCAGGTACAGTTGTTTTTATTTTATTTAGGTCTAAGCTTGAGCAGCAGTTTAAGCGCTCTGGGATGCCAACCTGCAAGATAATATAAAAGCAATATAAATGCAAGTTGTTTTGTCTGGACAGTATTGCCATTATATTGATAAATATTGTAACCTTTTTACTTTTCTTTCCAGCAAGGAGAGGTTGGAGGGCACTATAGGAGCAGATTAGAACAGGTTTGTTTCCTCTTTGTTTATTGTCTTCTTTATCGAGATCAATTTTGAAATCTTTATACTTTGTTTTCCAGCCGGAGCCGGAAAGAATCCCTGTCCCCACTGACTGGTGTGCCTGGCCAAATGCTTCCAATGACTAATGCTGGCTAATGTCATTACATGTGCTGTGAAGTACCGGAGACTCGCCTAACTTGGGAACTGCAATATTGTGACTGCCACAGAGGATTGTTCGTCTCTTGCCCCTCCGCTCCCTCCTCGGCAACCGTACTTTCAGCCACGATGCCCAAAGCTCTGGAACTCCCTCCCTCAATCCCTCTGCCTTGCCCCCTCCCTCCCCACTTTCAAATCCTGCCTAAAGACCTTCCTTTTTGACAAAAAAAACAGAATAAAATTGGTCACTTCAATCCATGACTGTTTGTGGGACACTGCTGTGCGCAATTGGCTGTCGTGTTTCGCCCACAAATATACAGTCAATTCACTTTACAATATATTCTGCAAAGCACTTTGAGACGTCTAGAAGATATGAAAAGCACTTTTATTAAATGCAAGGATTATCGTTATTATTATTATCCTTTTGACATCCTTCCTAAAGTATTAATGGTATTAATTCCTGATGGAAGACATTTTTGATGAATATTGTTTTGTGGTATTCCTTTTTGATCATGTTTACGGTCACCTCCCCATTCCCCCTGACTTGGGGTCAGACTCCACCACTGTCAAGCGCTCCGGGACGCTACGCAGTGTGAAGGGCGCTATATAAATGCAAGTTGTTGTTGATTAAATTTTGGCACCTCTAATCCACATGCTTCACTGTAACACAAAACAGTACTAATCAAAAATGTCTTCCATCAGTAATTAATACCATCAACACTTTAGGAACGATGTCAAGGCATTGGAGAAGGTGCCAAGGAGATTTACCAGGATGGAACCAGGAATGAGGGGCTTCATTATCAGGAGAGGCTAGAGAAGCTAGGATTACTCTCATTGGAGTAGAGTAGGTTAACCGAGGTGTCTTGTTCAACCCTCAACTGTCTTTTCTTCCCCACATCCAAGCCATGACCCGCACTGCCTTCTCTCACCTATGTAACATCGCCCGACTCCACCACTACCTCACTCCTCAGGCCGCTGAAACTCTTGTTCATGCCTTCATCACCTCCAGGCTCGACTATGCAAACGCCCTGCTTGTTGCCTTCCCAACTTCTCCCTCCACAGGCTGCAGATAATCCAGAACTCTGCAGCCCGTGTCCTCTCCTGCACCAAACTCCATGATCCTATCTCCTCCATTCTCGCTCAACTCCATTGGCTCCCTATCCTTCAGAGGATCCAGTTCAAGATCCTGGTCCTCACCTACAAAGCCCTCCATGGCCTCGCCCCACCCTACCTCTGCGACCTCCTAACCCCCTACCAACCCGCCCACTCCCTCCGCTCAACCGGCTATGTCCCCCAACCCACTATTGGCGGGAGAGCCTTCAACCACTCTGCCCCAACTTCTGGAATTCCATCCCCCAATCACTCCCCTTCGGCCCCTCCTTAGCCTCCTTCAAGTCCCGCCTCAAAACCCTCCTCTTCGACCATGCCATCAGTCACCCCCCTTCCCCTCCGCTCCCTTCTCCCGCCCTGACCCCAGGTTGTGTCTGAAATGCTGTACATTGTCCAGCACCTTGGGATGTCCTCCCGACGTGAAAGGTGCTATACAATTGTAATCTTGTTGTTGTTGTTAAGAGGCGACTTAATAGAAGATTCGATAGGCTGAACAAGGAGAAACTATTTCCAATGGTGGGGGGGCGGGAATACGAGGATACCAATTTAAAATAGTTGTTAAAAGAAAGAGGGGAGGTGATGAAAAATGTTTTCACTCCGAGTTGTTCAGATCTGGAATGCATTGTCTGAAAGGGTGGTGGAAGCTGATTCGATAACAACTTTTAAGAGAAAGTAGATAATTATTTGGGGGAGGACGAGTTTGCTGGGCTATGGAGAGGGGGGGTGGTGGGGGGGGGAGTGGGATTAATTTGGATAGCTCTTTTCAAAAAGGCGGCACAGACACAATGGGCCGAATGGTCTCCTTCTGTATAATTCTATAGAATCGTACAGCACAATAAGAGGCCATTCGGCCCATCGAGTCTGTGCCGACTCTTTGAAAAGAGCAATGTAATGTCTATGATTCTATGAATACAGTACCAGGATTTATTCTTCCTCTGCTCCTCTTCCCTCCGTCTCCCAGGGTTCCCATGACTCCATTTTCAACTCTCTTGAACACAAAACCATAGGCGGCAGATATTCTGGGGGGTGGGGGGTGGGCTGAATAAAACTCGGGGGCACTCACCTCTTTGGTCGATGGACCTGTCAAGCCAATGGTTCATCTTTAAGACAGGTAAACTGTTGGCTTGTCTGACGGGTCCATTGTCCAATGAAAGGTGAGGGAGGTCACCTTGACAAGCGGTCGAGGAGAGATGAGCTGTAGATAGATTTGGGGAGGACACAGCCCTCTGTAGCCCTAGCCACCTATGCCTGAAACTGATCTCAGAAAGAAGGACTTATACTGGCCTGGAAAAAAACCACTTGATAGAATGTGGACATATTAATAGGCACGCAGGCAATAAAAGATTTTCAACTTGAAATCATAATACAACAACAACAAAATTACATTTGTATAGTGCCTTTCTCGTCGGGAGAACGTCCCAAGGTGCTGGATGGACAGAGTTATAGACCCGAGCTGAAGGTGGGGTGGGTGGAGGGCGGGGGGGGGGGAAGAAGGGAGATTGAAAGCAAGGTTGAAGAGAAGGGTCTTGAGGTGGGCCTTGAAGGTGGTGAGGGAAGGGGCGAGACGGAGTGACTGCAGGATGGAGTTCTAGAGGGTGAGAGTGGCGGAAGGCCTGCCCACCAATAGTGGGACGAGCAAGGCGGGGGACGTGAAGCAGGCCGGAGCCTGCTGAGCGGAGGGAGCTAACAGGGTGGTAGGGGATTAAGAGGTCGGAGAGAGCAAGACCACGGAGGGCTTTGAAGGTTAGGACCAGGATCCTGAACTGTATCCTCTGTGTGATGGGAAGCCAGTGGAGTTGGCGAGGATGGGGGTGATAGGGTTGCGGAGCCTAGTGCGGGAAAGGACACGAGCTGCAGAGTTCTGGATGATCTGCAGCCTATGGAGGGAGGAGTTTGGGAGGCCGACACGCAGTGAGTTCGCATAGTCAACGTATTACTTGCTCCAGTAGCAGACACGTGGCTAACTGGCTATACGGATAAGAGTTGCTTGCCTGTAATTTCAACCCTCTCTATGTTCCCAATACAATGATAACGGAGGACAATGCCAACATTTGTTGAGTATTTGCAAATTTACATAGAGTAAAAGTTTAAAAATAACTAAATAATCAAAAATCGTGATTTAATTACTTATTTAATCTTGTTGATAACTGTGTCATTAGGACTGGATATTTTAAGTGGATGCTAAAATAACACCATCAGTACCAATCTGATTGCACCTTCCTCTATAATATTATAAAGGCCCTCTCCATTTTAACTCACTGAGTATGCTTTTAGACACAAATAAGCAAAAATATTTCTCCACTCTTTCCCATACAAACCAGGCAACCAACAATCAGCCTCGTCACAAAAGTCTAGTACTTTCAGACAGTTATGAAATTAAACAAATAGGAATTAGAAAAGATTATGGTTCAAATCATGTTCAGCGCACACACACAACACATGCCTAATCTGTTGCTAAACCTGTCTACTAGCTCATTCATCTAATTATAGTGTGGAGCTGTTTCATGTGGCATTGTTCCCAGAGTTGAATTACAAAATGGGTCAGCGAGAATCTCCTTCAGAAATCTGACTCACTGTGAAATGAAGTGTCTGTCTATTTGCAGGCGAACATGGCAGCCCAAATGCGCACCATAATATCCCACAATTTTACTTAGGGGATTGTTGACCCCAAAACTCTCCAGCAGAGCCTCATCTATGACCTCTGCCTCTTCCTTACAAGTGTTTTGATGTCCTGCAATACTCGGATACTGTGGGCCAATAAAAGGCAATGAGAAAGCCCCAGTTTATGGTTCAGGCGGTTCTGCAGTAGTCCAGGGCACTGATAATCTATGTGAAGACGGCTCATGAGAGGACTTGGAGGGGTAGTCTGGAAGACATGATAAGGTGCTATGTCAAATGCAAGATTATATTGCTATCTGGTAAGCTTTCCAGCTGCGTGTCCAGCCAGGACCACCCTAGCCGTCAGGGCTTTGGCTTGCAAAATTTCTATGCGAAGATGGCATACGCGTGGAACTGTCTGGTTCGGATACTCTCTTGAGCGCGACGACAGATTCCTGCGCCTGTTCAGGGTTGCCAGAAATTAAAATAGGTTTGTAGCTCAAAGTCACCCTCACAGCAGCTCGAAAGATGGTATTATCAGGTTCTTTACTATACAGCACAGGCTGAGGCTGAGGCTGGCTGAGGACATTCATAAACTAACCTCTCACACACTTACTGAGAATTTTTTTTGAGACACACTTCCTGAGAGTGGGGAAGAGGGGTTACAGCAATAATAAAAATACCGACAGAGAGAGGGACTGAGAGAGAGAGAGAGAGAGACGATGGCGTCATTTCCATTTCAGGTTTCAAACCTGCAGCAATATGGCCATCAACCCAACAGGCGCTCCCATTGGGCCACCCGCCTGTCCATCAACCCGACAGGCGCTCCCATTGGGCCACCCGTCTGTCCATCAACCCAACAGGCGCTCCCATTGGGCCATCCTCCTGCCCATCAACTGTCCAGCACTTGTACCCCGAATGTGCCCAAAATGTAATGCCTGTATAAAGGGCACTGACGAGCGAGCTGGACAGTCAGAGGCCGCCGCCCGGACACGCTTTGTATTCGTACGCAATAATAATAATAAAAAAATACTGAACGAACCCAACTGGCCGGAAACCCGCCCACTCTGGCAAGACTGTGAGCGCACGTGATCAGACAGACGCCCGGCGGGGGGGGGGCGGGGCGGGGAGGGAGGGAGCGCCAGGAATTACAACACGTTTTGTAGCCCAAAATGCAGCAAATACCAGCCCCAAAAGTAGCCCAATAAGCTGCGTTGCCGACCGGCGGGCGACCGAGTTGGGCCGAGTTAGGTCAATGCCTTTCAGACCGCGTAAGAAAAAAAAAGTCTTGAACGGAGTGCGGGGGTTGTGGGGGAGGGCGTCTTTCTGCGCCGTTTAAATTAACAGTTTATAAAACGAAAAGTGCAAGAACACCGCCTAAACCGTCCACATTGGGGGCGAGTGGGGTGGGGAGAGGCAGGAAAGAGGAGGAGCGCAGTGAGCGGAAATGACGTGTTGTGGGCCGTGTCGGAAGCTGTGCTGTGCTGGATAGCGCTCACGCTCTGTCTCTCTCTCTCTCTCTCTCTTTCCTGCTGCCATCGTGTCCAGCCAGCGGCGGCCATCTTCCCAGCTCCCGACTTCACGCGGCGCCAGCCTACAGCACACGCTCGCACGGAAAGCCACCGCAGCCAAGAGCCCAGCCATGTCGGAGGAACGAAAGCTTTTCGTCGGCGGCCTGAACTTCAACACGGAGGAGCAGTCGCTGGAGGAGGTTTTCAGCGAGTACGGCCAGGTCAGCGAGGTGCGGATCATCCGAGACCGCGACACGGGCACTTCGCGCGGCTTCGGCTTCGTCACCTTCGAGAGCCCCGACGACGCTCAGGACGCGTTGACCTCCATGAACGGCCGGTCGCTGGAGGGGCGGCAGATCCGAGTGGACCGGGCCGAGAAGAAGTCGGGCGACCGCGGAGGCAGCCGGGGCGGCGGCTACTCGCAGTATAACAGCGGCGGCGGCGGCGGCGGCTTCCAGCAGTACAGCAGAGGCGGCTACTCCTCGCAGTACAGGGGCGGCGGCGGCGGCTATGGTGGCCGTCGGGGCGGCGGCGGCTACTAGCATCGTGCACCCCCTCCCCCCCAACCACCACCACCCACCTTCCCCCGGGCTCGACCACCGGTAAAACTACTTTTCCAGGCTCAGATCATCGTCCTCTTGACTGTGTTGCCGAAAAACGAAAAAGAAAAGGGTTTTTTTTTGTTATTTTATTATTTTGGTTTTTTTTTCTCTCTCTCTCTCCCCTGAAGCGATCGCCCGCCGTCTCTCTCTCTCTCTCTCTCCCCTCTCTCTCTCTCTCTCTCCTCTTTCTCTCTCTCTTCTCTCCTTCTGAATCGAAACTTTTTGAAACTCCAAAAAAAAAGAATTTTTTTTTTTCTCGGGTTTTATTCAGTGTAAGATTCTCGATGACAACAGCTGTGATTTTTTTTTTGGTATTTTTTTTTTTCTTTTTCGTGTTTATAAAAAAAAAAGCATCATTTTTTTTTCCGTGATATTTTGCTAAACTGTAGTAGTTTCTCCGGGAAGACTTTTTATTAAAAATCAATAATAGAGGAAAAAAAAGATCTCGCTTCCACATAGATTTACTTACCACTCACAGATTTTCACACATTTGATCTCTAGGTCCACCTCGGATCAGGATTTTGGGAGAGTTTACAGAGGAGGAGTGGGAGGAGGGAGAGGGAGGAATACTTTTAAAGTATACTTTTTAAAAAAAAAGAAATTCCTGTTATGTTGTGTGTTGTGCGACGGCCTCCATTTTGTGCGTATACATCAGGGCGGCGTTTGACTCTTCCCGCCCTTTTTTCCCCCCTCCCTTCTCCTCTCTTAACGGAATTAACTTGGTATCTTTTGTTAAGTTTGTGCGGTAATTTTTTTTTCCCCCCCCAAAGCCAAATAGAAGCCGCTCTCAATTAATTAATTTGATTAATTGATGGTCTCGACGATCGCTTTGATGGTTTATACGAAATGGGGGGGGGGGGAAGGGGTGTGGGAGGGGAGGGGGGGGGTCTCGCCACCCGATTTTTTTTTTCTGCTCGAATGCGATTTGGTCTGAAGGGGGTGGGGGAGGCTTGGGTTTGGGTGCACGCCGGAAAGAGAGGGCCCGAGAGGCGGCGTGACACAGCGAGAAAGTCAAACCGGGGCCATGTTGTCTCTTTTCAGAGTCCCGTGCGATCGGCAGCGAGGGCAGTGCTTCGGCAAACCGAACTTACTCCGGGATCATTGCTTTGTATTCCCGAGGAATTGGGGGGTGGTGGCGGTGGGGGAGAACTGCTTCAGTTTCAATCCCGACCCCTTTTATTCACGAATGCTGATTCCTGGCCGAGATGGGAGCGTGTGTACCCGTGAGTGGCGGTGCCCTGTGTGTAACTCGCCGCTACCGCTTCCAGTAGCCGTATTCCGGCTTCAACCCCCCAAAAAAAAATATGTGTTGAGCGACTCCCGTTTTTGTTTGTCACTCCTTAATGCGTAACTAGTCACGTTCCAGAAGTAATTTGGCTTGTAAGATGCCTGCACTGCCGTGCCCTGCCCAGCCCTGCCGTGCCCTGGCCTGCCCTGCCGTGCCCTGCCCCGAGGGGATCATGCTGTGATGGCACTGCAGAGGCCTCTGGTCTGTTGGAGGGAGGGGAGGGCGGGAGGGCACAGTCCTCACTGGAGGGGAGGCTCTCAATGGGTTCGGTATTCCGACTGATCAATTTGGTGACTCTCTGCCCTCAGGCGGTCCCTGGGCGAGCCCTGCCCTGCCCTGAGCGTGCATGCTTTCTAGAATGCCTGCGCCAGTCACAGCGCCCCATTGTGGCCTGGGAGGATCTGTGCCTCTCACCATTACAGGTAACTGGTCACTGAGACGGTTTCTCTTGCAGTGACGAGTTATCTGAGATTACTGTAATTGCTACAGACGCACATTTCCACCAGCAGGGGATTTTTTTTCCCCCCCAAAATGCTCAATTCATGTCTCACTGGCGGTATGAGTTTTGCTGCAAGTGCAGCATAAGGCTCGAAACACAAGGAGGGAAGGGCTGGGACTTTTGTGTTGCTATGTAATTCAACTTCCAGGTGGGGGGCCCTTTTGGTTAGTTACTGTACACTGCATTTTATGATGGCTTGATAGCAGGACTGTTTCAACCATCGTGAGATCTGTTACAAGTAGTGTTGATATTGGGCAGTCTGCGTATTTGCTGAAAAGTTTAAAATTCAAGGGGAAAAAAAATCAAGTGTTGGCTGTAACTGTATATAGGTACTTAGGTCTCCATGGGTTCATAAGCTTGTGCCTCAGCAGGCCAAAGCTAAATTTAGGCAAGTGCTAGATCAGCCAAAAGCATTGCCGCATCTGTTGAGGGCATGCGAGACTTCAGCACATGAAGGAACTTCGGGTCACGTGCCGTGCCTCATCAGTCAAAATTACGGCGTGGAATGGGGCTTCTGGTTATGTGACTGCGTTGATATTATCAGGTCTGCTGACTTGAAACTCATGGGTTCTTCTGACTACTACTGGAGTTGACGGTATGACCAATGCGCAGTGTGCAATCTTTCGATAATAGAGGATTTGCGCAGGTGTACACTACTAATCGTTACTCCAGTGTCTGTTCAAATTGCGGATGATTCTTTGAATATAACAGGTATTCAAGGCACAGATGCTTGTTAATTTTTCAGGTACTGAAATTGTTAAACCTCAGGTTTGGCCCTTCACGGAAGATTTGAGGTGCGATGCTGAGTGTCGACCACACATCGCTCCAGTATCGACCACGTATCGCTTATCGTTACAGGATTCAGGTAACAAAAATGAGTCCAATACTATGGCAGCAAAAGTAATATGAAGGATTTGCAACCATTAATTCAACTAAACTAAACTATTGGCCAATGCTAAACATAATTTCTTTGCAAACAATCATTTCTCATTAGTACTCGATTTGTATCCCTCAGTTGAGCAGGTGCTTGGGAGTCTTATGTTTATCAGCTGGGTTATACAAGCACAAGTTCGTCACCATGCTTAAAAGGATCCAGACCACACAAAGTTTCACATTTGCCACCTACAAATAGAAATTTCCCTGTGTCTCGAATGGTATCCACAACTTCTGCCTGAATGATTCATTGGGTGTGTCACCTTTACTATTATAGCAGTCCAAACTATTCTGCAAGATCTTCATAAGCAACCCTGAATTTTGCCACAGATTGGAAGTACATAATGCTCTTCCCATGTATGCCTTCAGTAGAGCTACTCAATGAGCATCCAATTACAGACTCCAGTCAATCTAGGTCTTGCCTGAATAGGGTAAAAATATGACTCCACGTACAACCCCTGATAAGTGAACGGTTTGTTGGGTAGATATTTGTTTCAAGCAGGCTCAGCACAATGACCTCAAAGCCCATCATTGAATATATTGGCAGGTTTTCTCATTAGGGATTTTCAATTTACCCCTGTGATCCATGTATCAGTTTGTTTGAAGGCATTCATTGACAAAATTAGAGGATTTTCTATACTTGTACATATGTACATTACACATGTGAAACTCCTGGTTTGATTCCTCTTAAGCATGGTGATGCATTTTCATTAGCTGCACCGTTTCAACAGCCGCAGTCAATGTATTAGATAGACTCCAATGCTAGTCTGCCATTTTGAGGTTTGTCACAGCCTCAGAATGGGAGACTGCCATTTTGAACTCAGTCACCAGAATAAGAGAAACTTCAAACTCCCCTGCAGTCCTATTGAGGAACTGCCAGAAACTACATATTTAGTTTGACAGGTTCCCTTCGGCAACTCTGCCAGACGAGGGTCTTTTCCAGTAGGCACAGTGAGTCTGAAGCTCCCAAAACAACACGGCAATGGACCACTTGCCCTGCTTTACGAAACGCAAAAGAAATTAGCTGATTGGAAGATTATCAAAAATTGTGAGACAGGGGCACCCCTTTCACTTGCAGAACCCATGTATTTTCTAACGGGTTTAAATTGGCCCTCACCTCCCAGCTTCATTGCAGTAGGCTTTGGCAGATGAGGTCTACAAATTAAGGATCATAATGAATTTTTAAAATCTCGCAAAAGAACCAAAACAATCCTTGATACATAGGATAGAAACATACTTTTTTTTAAATACACCTAGACATGTCTTTGGATCTAATGGTGGCAGTAAGATTTGTAGCTATTATATATAAGATGGCTTCAATTGCAGCTCAGGCAATCTTCATACAGGGGCTCCACAGACCAGTCAGGATCCACTAATATTTCCAATAGTGGGTCAGAGACTACAATGTTATTCCATAATTTCCATTGTGGCCTCTTAGCTCTGCTCAAGCTAGTTGTAGATACCTCACTGACGAGGGTTGTGGGAGCTGCATTTTTCTTGGGCACAAGAGACAGTTTGACAGTAATGTAAACACACTGGAGCTCACTGGTTCACCCTCGCTCGCCTCCACTTGCTCCCCATCCCCCAGAGGATCGAATTCAAGATCCTCCTCATCACCTACAAGGCCACTCACGGCCTTGCACCCTCCGACCTACTATCCCCCTAGTTACCTGCCCGTACCCTCCGTTCCTCTGGCTTCGGTCTGCTCCACGTCCCCCGCCCTACCATCGGTGGCCGGGCTTTCAGCTTCTCAGCCCCTAGGCTCTGAAATTGAAACCCCCAGTGCCTTTGCCTTGCTTTCTTTCTTCAAGGCCGGTCTCAAGACCTTTCTCTTCAACCGTGCTTCAGCTCCCCTCTTGACCCTCTGCCCCCTCCTTGCTCCCTCCCTCCCCTCACCCTGACAATTTCCCCCCTGCTCGGGTCCCAACCCAACTGTCCAGTGCCTTGGGACGTCCTCCCGACGTGAAAGGCGCTCTATAAATGCAATCATGTTGTTGTTGTTCAATTAGCATGAGAACATTTCTACAAAGTAATAATAATAATCCTGGCATTTGATGTAGCACCTTAATATATTGTTGAGGCGTCTCAAAGCGCTTCACAGAATATGCTGTAAATTGAATTGACTGTATATTTTGTGTGCAGAACATTAAAAAAAAGATTGTTGCAAATGTGTGGACAGACGATGTATTCCAATTAGGGCAGGACTCATTCTCAAACCCTTTGTCTATAGACAATTCACATGTCGTATTGGTCCATTCGATATGGGCAGGTCTCACGGAACAATACCAGACTGGAATAGTGAACGTGGTGCCGGACTCAACAGAGTCAGAATTCACCCTCACAGATTGAAGATCCATCCACATTTAGGACTTGGGAGTTTCATAGTGGCTTTCTTTGTAATGTTGAATGCTAAATCCTTTCTACTCAAGAATCAGGGATCCATCAGCCTGGAAGTTGTGTGTCCACACCTCGCGGAAACTTGGGTATGTAAGTGTTTACTCCTTTTCCCCTAATATCGGTTGTGCTGTAGAAATTGAGGCGTAGATGATAATTTTTGGCCTAGCTAATCGGATTTCCCTGATCTTGACTGTTGCTGCTGAGCATTACAGTTCCAAAGTATCCATTACAACAGTTCAACCTTCATGGCTGTTTGCAGGATGTTGCTGTTTGCAAGTTGGCTACTGTGCTTGCCTACAAAATGAAGTCACAAAAC